ATCCTTAATGTTCTCAAAGATAATTTATTTCAACTGAGAATTTCCTATCTAGTCAAGCTAAGTTTCATCCCTGATGGAGAATTAAAATCCTTCTCAAACACCCTATCCCTAAGAGAATATGCTGTTTGCAGACCTGCTTTACAGGAGACATTTAAAAAGGTGCTGTGGACAGAAGAAAAGAGAAACAAAGGGAAGACCATATACTTCATAAGATCACAAACAAACACAGAAACAGAAATGCACACAGCACACTTGCAAAAATGAAGACACACACACATATGAACACAAAAGCTAAATGAAAACAAAGCAGCCTTATAAGAGCATTATGACAGGGACAAAATCTCAGATTTCAATAATCAGCTTGAATGTGAATGGACTAAATGCACCACTGAAAAGACATAGAATGTAAAACTGTATAGAAAAACATGGTCCAACAATTTTCTGCCTCTGGGGAATGCATCTCACCATAAAGGATGCCCACAGACTCAAGGTGAGGGGATGAAAAACAAATGGATCACAAAAGAAGGGAGTCATATCTTAATATCAGACAAAGCAATGTCTAAGCTATCCAAAATTAAAAAAGACATGGAAAGACACAGCATAATGATAAAAGGTTCCATTTGCCAACAAGAAATAGTAATCCTAAACATATATACACCCAAAACAGGAACACCAGCTGTTATAAAGTGGCTACTAGGTAAGCTAAAAAAAGAGATTGACTCTAACACGATCTTAGCTGGAGATTTAAATACCCCACTGGCAACCCTAAATAGATCATCAAAGCAAAAAATCAACAAAGAGATCTGGGCACTGGACAAAATGGACTTAATTGTTACCTACAGAACACTCTGCCCAACAACCACGGAATATACATTCTACTCATCACCACATGGAACATACTCCATAAGCATAAGAAATTTCATGGAAATTTCATAAGATTGAAATGTTGCCATGCACCTTCTCAAACCCAAGTGGAATAAAAATAAATATCACCACCAACAAAATTCCCCCCAAATCCCCCAAAGCATGGACACTAAACAGCATGATGTTGAAAAACTCCTGGGTCAACGCAGAAATCAAAACAGAAACTAAAGATTCCTGGGAACAAATGAAAACAAACAACTTAACAAAACCTCTGGGCTGCCATGAAAGTAGTAGGAGAATTTATATCTCTAAGAATACACATCAAGAAATAGAGCACAAGTCAACAGCCTAACAAATCAACTAAGGGAGCTGAAAAGGCAAGACCACCAAAACCCTGACTATAGTATAAAAATCCAGATCACCAAAGTAAAATCCCAAATATGGGAAGACAAAAAATATCGTAGGAAAAAATTGATGGAACAAAAAGTTGGTTCTTTGAAAGGATAAATAAGATTGATGGATCCCTAGCAAGAAAGATCAAGAAAAAGAGAGAAAAAGCCTAAATAAACTCAGTCAGAAATGAAAACAATCAAGTCACCATTGACCCTGATGAAAAACAGAAGATTATCAGAGATTACTATACACACATGTATGAAAACAAACTTGATAAGCTACATGAAATGGAGGATTTTCTGACATCAAACATCCTTCCAAGGCTGAAACAAGAAATTGAGACACTAAATGAGCAATAGCAGCACAGGAAATTGACTCCATTATAGGAAAACGACTTACTAAAAAAAGTCCTGGACCAGAAGGTTTTCCAGTGAAATTCAACAAAAAATATGAGGAGGAGCTGATACTAATCCTGTTGAAAGTATCCAAGCAATTGAGAAAGATGGAACTCTTTCCAGATCATTTTGTGACACTAACATCACACTGGTACCCAAACTAGGTAAACATCCAACAAAGAAAGATAACTACAGGCCAGTATTCCTGATGAATGTAGATGCAAAAATTCTCAACAAGATTCAAATGGGATCCAACAACGCATCTCAAAAATCATCCACCATGACCAAGTAGGCTTCATCTCCAGGATGCAAGGCTGGTTCAACATCCACAAGACCATAAATCTCATTAAACACATCAACATATGTAAAAACAAAAACCACATGAGTATATCATTAGATCCAAAAAATATTTTTGATAAAATACAGCATCTCTTCTTGATAAAATCCCTTGAGCACCTAGGCAAAGAGGGGACATATCTCACAATAGTAAGAGCCATTTACAATAAACCCACAAGCAACATATTGTAAAATGGATAGATATTGGAAGTATTTCCTCTGAAAAACAGAACAAGATAAGGCTGCCCACTTTTACCCCTCCTAGTCAACAGAGTGTCGGAAGTCCTAGGGAGAGCAATAAGGCAAGAGAAGGAAAGCAGGAGTATCTAATATGAAAAGAGGAAGTTAAGCTATCTCTGCTTGCTGATGATATGATCTTATACCTCAAAAATCTAAGAGAATCTGTCAAAAACCTCCTTGCACTGATAAAGAACTTTGGCAAAGTTCTTTATCAACATGCAAAAGACAGTCCCATTCTTATACACCACCAACAAACTTGCAAAGAACCAAACAAAAAGCATGATCCCATTCGCAATAGCCACAAAATAAATAAATAAATAAATAGATAGATAGATAGATAGATAGATAGACAGACAGACAGACAGATAGATAGGTAGATAGATAAAAATACCTCGGCATCTTCCTAACCAGAGAGGCAAAACAAGTTTTACAAGAAAAACTACAAAACACTGCTCAAAGAAATCAAAGAAGACATAAAGAAATGGAAAAATATTCCATGCTCATGGATTGGAAGAATCAACATTGTTAAATATCCATCCTACCAAAGGCGATCTACAGATTCAATGCAATGCCCATTAAATTACCAATATCATTCTTCTCAGATTAGATAGCAACACTACAGAACCTTTTGTGTGAAGAAAAAATGACTGCAAATAGCCTAAACAATGTTCAGCAAAAGAAACAAAGTGAAAGATGTCACAATTTCAGACTTTAAACTTTATTGTAAGGCTGCAATAATCAAAACAGTCTGGTCTTGGTACAAGAACAGGCATATAGACCAGTGAATTAGGATAGAGATTCCAGAAGGGAAACCTCAATTTCCCCAACAACTCGTCTTCAACAAAGCCTCTACCAACAACCACTGGGGAGAGGAGAACCTGTTCAGCAAAGAGTGACTGGGAAAACTGGCTGATCACATGTAGAAGATTGAAACAGAACTCCTACCTATCCCCATACACCAAAATCAACTCTAAATGGATCAAAGACCTAAATGGAAAATCCCAAACTAAAAGAATCTTAGAAAATGCAGGAGTGACCCTTTTGGGAATCAGAATAGGCAAACAATTCCTGATCAAAACCCCAGCTCGCCATGCCATAAGACATAAGATAGACAAATGTGACTTCATCAAACTGAAAAGTCTGCAGAGCAAAAGAAACCATCAAGAGAGTTGAGAGACAGCCCACAGAATAGGAAAAAATATCTGCCAACTGTATATCTGACAAAGACCTAACATCTAGGATTTACAAGGAACTCAAACGTGCTGAAAATAAAAAGACAAACAGCCTTATTAAAAAGAGGGCAAAAGACATTAATAGACACTTCTCAAAAGAAGACATACAGGCAGCTAACAGATGCATGGAAAAATGCTCAGCCTCACTAATCATCAGAGAAATGCAAACTGAAGCCACATTGAGATAACACCTAACTGCAGTGAGAATGGCCACCATTAATAAAACAAATGCATCAGATGCTGGTGAGGATGCAGAGAAAAGTGAACACTTGTTTTCTGTTGGTGGGAATGGAAACTAGCTCAACCCCGATGGAAAACAGTGTGAAAATTCCCAAAAGAACTATAAATTGGCTTTCCTTCAACCCAGCCTTTCCCCAATGGGAATATACCTGGAGGAAGTCAAATCATTCTATGAGAAAGATACTTGCACATGCATGTTCACTGCAGTCCTATTCAGCACAGCAAAAACATAGAACCCACCATGCTGCCCATCGAAACTGGCGTGGATAAAAATAACATGGTACATATACACAATGACATACTACGCGGTCATAAAGAAGGACCTAATTATGGACTTGGCAGCAACGTGGATATATTTAGAGCCTATCGTACTCATTAATCTATCCGAGAAACAAAGACCTGAATACCTCGTGTTCTCACTCATAAGTGGACCCTGAACGTTTGCCATAATACTATAAGAAAGGGATTGGCAGTAGCGGAAAACTGCCAGGTTGTGTGGGAGGAAGCATAACATTAATAAGCATGTGTGATTTCAAACCAGGAGAAGTGGAGTCCAAATGAAGACCCAAGCTTTACCTGTATGATGATTACTTGCATACTTAATCCTGAATTGCACCCCACATTGATAAAATTAAAAAAGTGATTACCTAGATGTCTTAACTAGGGGATAAGCCTGACCCCCTAGTAGTCAAGCGGGCGGTAACACCATCCACTGAACTTAGAAAGATTGGAGGATGGCTAGAGAGAGGATAATAAACTTATGTTTGGAAATGTTAAGGTTAAGATGCATTTTAGGCACTTTTGTAGACACGTGGATATATGTATTTCGAGCTCATATGAGGTATCCTGCATGGAATTTTAGTTTAAGCTATGAAAGCAGATTGCCAAGGGAGAGACAATAGAGTAAGAAGATCTGGGGCCTTGTCATGATGAAACTAAGTTTTGGTTGTTGGAAAGAAAAGGTGAAGTGAAGAAATAAGAGTGAGAATAAGTTCTTCAGAGGAAGAAAGGAAAGAAGTTCCTAGAGAAAGGTATTTAGAAAAAAGGATTGTTTAGCCTGTGGAATGCTGCTGACCGATCAGGAGATGTTAAAGCTCAAAATGTGCTTTGGGTTTGTTAGGAAGAGCAGTTTAAGGAAGAGTGTTTAGGAAAGTCCAGAATGCAGTGTCTTCAGGAGGAACAGAAATTTCTTACAACCAAATAAATTTCTTCTCCAAAAAGTGATTGGCCTTTCTCCTTGCATACATATTGCTCCTCAACAAATTGTTCCTTTCATTCCATGAGCTGTCTGGGCTCTTACCGGCACAAGTTAATGTGGTGTCCTCGTGGTGACTGCAGTCATGATTTCCCCATCCATGGTGACTGCAGTTCCAGAGTGCTGACTCATTTCCATGGCATGAAACACCATCGAGCCATATGGGGTCAAATGTAGCAGGGCTGTCAACATCACCAGGATACACGAAAGAAGATGGGCATCCCAGTTGTCTGCATGCCACAGTGGCAGCATTCGAGTTCCAGCCGTCATCACACACGGTCCCCCATCTTTCTCTGAATTTCACCTCCAGTCTCCCCGAACAGGAGCTGCTTCCACCCCCTAGCCTCAGGTCAAAATTTTCCATATCTGTAAAAAAAAAAAAAAAACAACCAAGCAGACATGTTAGAAAGGGGCTCAGCTTTGAACCTGAAATAAAACCAACAGGATGCTTAGAAGATCAACCTGCTATGAACAAAGTTACCATAAGTTAAAAAGAAATCTATTGAAAATAGTTAAAAACAATCAAAATCCCAAAAGCTCATGCCATAAGAGATAAGATTGACAAGCGAGACATCATCAAACTGAAAAGTTTCTGCAAAGCACGAGAAATCATCAAGAGAACAGGGAGACAGCCCACAGAATGGGGAAAAAATATTTGCCAACTGCATATCTCACAAAGGCCTGACATCCAGGATCTACAAGGAACTCAAGCATGCCTAAAGGAAAACAAACAAACAGCCCTGTTAAGAAGTGAGCAAAAGACATGAATAAACACTTCTTGAAAGAAGACACATGGGCAGCCAACAGACACATGAAAGAGTGCACAGCCTCACTCATCATCAGAGAAATGCAAATCAAAGCCACACTGAGATAACACCTGGTCACAGTAAGAATGACCGCTGTTAATAAAACAAAAAACAACAGATGCTGGTGAGGATGTGGAGAAAAGGCAATACTTCGCACTGGTGGTGGGAATGCAAACTAGTGCAACCTCTGTGGAAAACTGTGGCAATTCCTAAAAGAACTAGACATCGACCTTGCTTATAACCCTCTTCTGGAAATAGGCCTAGAGGACCTTAAATCGCTCTACAAAAGACACTTGTGCATGCTTGTTTATTGCAGCACTAGTTACAATAGCAAAAACATGGAGTCAACTGTGCTGCCCATCAAAACTGGACTGGATAAAACAAGGTGGTACATATATTTGATGGAATATTATGCAGCCATAAAAAAGAACAAAATAATGGACTTCGCAGCAACTTGGATGGATTTAGAGTCTATCATACTCAGTGATTTATCACAAAAACAAAGGACTGAGTACCACATGTTCTCACTTGGAAGCGGATCTGAAACATGTACCATAATAAGGAAGGGATTGGCAGTAGCTGGAAATTGCCAGAGGAGGGATGGTGGAGCACATAATAGCAATAAGGGCACCTGATCTCAAACCAGGCAAAGTGGGGACCAAAGGGAGGCCCAAACTTTACCTGTGCGATGACCACTTGTGGACCTGATCTTGAATTGTACCCCACATCGGTAAAATAAAAAAATACTTAAGAAAAGCGTATAAGGCTTTTTTCTAAACACAAATGCATAAGCAGAACAAACAAACAAACAAATAAAAACCCACAGAAAACGAATCACCAGCACGATATTCTTTATCATTTTGCTTTGATTCTGTATCTCGTTCTCCACAAAATATTTGTTCGGTGTAACTGGCATGTGAGAAAAGGCACTTAAAGTTTTCTCCCTCTTTATTTCTTTTAAACTCATAACTATTAAAAAATGCATTGGTAACTTTAGTGTCCTCTCTCTTCATTTCTTTCTAAATTCAGTTATAGTTATAAAAAAGAAAAGCAATCGGACATCACATTACAAAGTAAGAAAACGGGTAGAATATAGAAAGTATTATTTTCTACATCTTTCAGAGGGACACTATTAAAATCAGAATAGAACCTCCAGTTTCCAACAGAGACTTCCTGAATTAGGTTTTACTCTGGTTCGACTCTTACCATAACAGCTCACACCAGCATCTTCTCTATGGGTGCAGTCATGGACTCCCCAGTTCGGGTGTTGGCACTCCCAGAGAGCTGACTCGTTCCCATAACATTTGACATCATCAAGCCAAATTTTTCCATATCCAGTCAAGGGTCTTCTGAGAGATGTGGTGAAAGCAAATGGACATCCCAGCTGCTTGCACACGACGGCCATGGCAGCGGAGTTCCACCCATCGTCACACACAGTTCCCCACTCCCCCTGGAACTTCACCTCCACTCTCCCAGAGCAGAGACTGTCTTCCCCAGTCAGCCTCAACTCCAGACCTGTTTCATCTGCAAGAAAGACAGAGACACATTTCAGAGGCGGCAAACGTTAGGAGGCACATACAGGTAGACGAGATGGATGATGGCAATTTAGCCTAAATGCCGTTGTTGTAATTTGCAGGAGAGGAAAAAGAAAAATGCGAGAATTTGAAATGGAAAACTTTGATTTTCACCACAGGAAGCTAGAGACGACCTTGCAGCATATTTTTGTTTTGTATTCTAATGTAGAAATGGAAAAGATGTAAAGACATTTTTCCTTTTGATGCAATTCTCATCCATATAAACCTGGCTTTTTCACAGGCAGGAGGACAAAAAATGCTCCTTAGGCAGTCAGTTTCAAAACGATCTATTCCTGAGGATTATGCCTCACGTTTTTGAAGATGTTTAACTTGATAATTGAAGACACCTTGTATGGTTGATACAATAATCTCCACACTTCTAACCTATTCATTAAAAATGATATTAAATACTTTTGAGTATTTCTATCTGCACATGTTTTAAACACATTCTACAACAAGCCTTTCAGGAGCAGAAGGCCTGATCATCCTGCTATTAGGACTAGAAGTAAAGAACGACTTTAGGGAAAGTCAGTCCTCCAGAGGCCACTGACTGTTCGTAATCCCCTGTCTTAAAATTTGAAATAAGAAAAAAGTCTAGTTATTCTCATGAATATGTATAGGCAAGACCATAAATAAATAACCTGGATGGTTTTGTCATTGAAGCCATGAGACCAAGCGATGTTAGCATAAACCAGCATTTATTGGCAAGCCAAAAATCTCAGGTGCAAATGTTAAGAATTTAATCGGGAAACAAATAGGAGGGCAGAAAAGGTCAAAGCAATGATGGGTGTGCAATGTGAAACTCTGTGGTCATGAGCTTTGTGTGTGTGATGATGGTGCGAGAAAGAGCAAAGGAGCAAAAGGAGAAAGTGAGGCGACAGGAAGAGGAGGGCAAGGAGAGAGGAGGAGAAGGAGGAGACAGAGAGACAGAGAAAGACAGAGACAGAGAGACACAGAGAGAGAGACAGAGACAGAGAGAGGCAGAGACAGAGAGAGAGACAGAGAGAGACACACAGAGAGACAGACAGAGAGACAGAGAGAGAGAAAGAGAGAGAGAGAGAGAGACACTGACTGACTATATTAGGGCAATTCTGAGTGCTGGCGCCTAGACCCTGACAGCTCAGCTGGAATGTATTTTTCACAAGCTCTCACACTACACTCTCTGAAAGTGAGCTATGGGCATTATGAGTTGTCTTCTTTCATTCAGTCTGGTCTTGCCTAGATCATATTCATGAGAATAACTGACTTTCCCCCGCTACATTTCACTTTCTCTAACCCTGGTGCTGCTGCTGATTCCTATTTCTTTTTGCATGTACATTTTAAAACAGTAGTTCAAGCTTGTGGGGGCATTCTAATTCCTGTGCTGACATTATACAGCTCTTAAATCTAGTTAAAGCTCTCAAAATTATAGTTAGCACAATCAAATGCACACTGATGTATCTTCTAATATGATTGACAGTTGCCATTTCTATTTGTTTAACCTGTAGGTTTAGGAGGTTTCTTTTCAATGTGCACATCAGTATTTCTACTGTCACCAAATTTTTACCAAAGAGTGATAAAAAGTTGTGAAAGAAAGTGATTGGTAAGTTAAGAACTTCTATTCTTCAAAAGACACTGTGTAAAAAGTAAAACATCACACAGTTGGCAAACATATTTTCAACACATATTATGGACTATTATCTAGGTTATATTTAAAATATATATACATTTAGAAAAACAGACAAAATAAGTAAATGAATTGATCAGACACTTAACAGAAGGGAAAAAAGGTGTGACCATTAAATATATGGAAAATGCCTCAATATATTAGTATTTAGGAAATTGAAAATTAAAATAAGACATAACTTTATGCTGTCTTGATTGGCAAAAATCTAGACTCTGGATATTTCATATATTAGAGAGGAAATGAGATAATTGGAAATATATTTGCATTACTGGTAGAATTCATTCTGTCTAGTAAGGTTGAAAACATGCACATCCCAGCACCTGGTAGTCCACACTTACCTGTAGACCCTAAGCAAATTCCCACAAGTATGCACTAAAGACATATACAAGAATATTTACACCAGCATATTTGATAATAGTAATAAAAAATTCAAATGGTTTTTGACAGGATAAAAGATAATTTCATTGGTAATACTGACTCATACAAGACAATCTATTTTACATTAATGAAAACTAAATTAATTATAGCCATTGCAACAAGAGATATATAGGCTTTGAAATATAATATTGAAAGATAAAAGCAAGTCCCATAATACTAAATTCAGTGTTATATTTTATAGAACTTAAAAATAAGCAACACTAAACAACACATATTTCTGCATCCATATCCCGATTGCATTAGAAAGTAAGCTAATGAGATATGCACATCCAGAGTAGCCTTCATCTTTGGTGGGGATGACAGGTAGGTGGAAAAGGAGAGCAAAACATCAATAGAAAAAAGTAGTTGACAACAATCCAGTTTCTTGCTTGATGATGAGTGTATGCATGCTCACTACAGTATACTCAACAAGTAGTAAGCATGCTATGAACATTTTTGTCTAATTAAATGTTTTCTTGAACAGAAAGAAATGTAAAACATTTAGAAAGCAAATAAATTGATAAAAAATGTTTGTAATGTGTGACAAGAGGCAATACTATTTTGGAATATATGAGAATATCATACTAGTCCAATATTAAAAAGAAATATTAAAGTTGTATGAATGAGGTAACCATTCAACTAAAATAAATAAGCATTTGAATACCGTAATTACTATCTCAACAACATGAAAACGTTAACTTAAAAAAAATGAGAAAATGCCATTTGGGCTATATATCTTTGGCATTAACTAAAATATAGAAAATAATGAAAAATACAAAAAATTAAAATTTTCTGTCAGTTCTGTTACATATAATTAAATAAAAAAGTATTGAGATAATTAAAATGCAAACTTAATTATATAACCTCAGTAGTCATTCATCAGGTCTTACTAAAATCTACTTGGTATATCCAGATGACAGAAATCTACACAGCCAATAAAACAAGATATCATAAGTGATTTGTAATGAAAAAATGTTAAAAACAATATAGAGAGTATAATTGCTCAATTTGTGAATAATATTTTATTAATTTAAAAAATAGTATATAACCATATAAAAACATAGCACAAATTGGTATGTTAAATTTCTAGTAGTGTTTTTCTCTGGGTGTTAATATCATATATGTTTTCCTAGTTTGTTCAATCCTCTATGATTTATTATCTTGCAAATTTTATTAAAATGCTTTTCTAATTACAAAAATACAATATCCATAGTTTTTAAATGAGGCATTTCACATTGGGAAATTATATGAACACAACATCAAGAAAATAGAAAGATCACGAGTTAACAGTCAAACAAATCACCTAAGGGAGCTGGAAAGGCAAGACCACCAAAACCCTAACTACAGCAGAATAATCCAGAACACCAAAGTAAAAACCCAAATATGGGACATAGAAGACAAAAATATCATAGAAATAAATCAATGAAACAAAAAGCTGGTTCTTTGAAGGGATAAACAAGATTGGCGGACCTCTAGAGAGAATGATCAAGAAAAAGAGAAAAAGGCCAAATAAACACAATCAGAAATTCAAAAGATCAAGTCATAATTGACCCCAAAGAAATACAGAAGATTATCTGAGACTACTATACACACATGTATGGAAACAAACTTGATAACCTAAATGATATGGAGGACTTTCTGACATCACACAACCTCCCAAGGTTGAAACAAGAAGAAATTGAGACACTAAATAGACCAATTAACAGCCCAGGAAATTGATTCCATTATAATAAAACTACTTACAAAAACAAAACAAAACAAAACAAAAATAAAAAAATCCCCTGGACCGGATAACTTTCCAGAGGAATTCTACAAAACATACAAGGAGGAGCTGATGCCAATCCTACTGAAAGCATTCTAGGCAATCAAGAAAGACAGAACTCACCCCAGATCATTTAATGAAACTAACATCACACTGACACCTAGAATGGGTAAAGATCCAACAAAGAAAGAGAACTACAGACCCAAATCTCTGATGAACACAGATACAAAAATTCCCAGCAAGAGTCTAGCAGAGTGGTTCCACCAATACAACTCAAGAATTATCCACCTTGACCAAGTAGGCTACATTCACAGGATGCAGGGCTGGTTCAACATCTGCAAGATCATAAATGTAATTAAATACATCAGCAGATGTAAAAACAAGAACCACATGATTATCTCATTAGATGTATGAGAAGCTTTTGATAAAATCCAGCATCCCTTCTTGATACAAACCCTTGAACACCTGGGCATAGAGGGGACATATCTCAAAATAATAGGAGCCATCTATGATAAAACCACAGTCAATATTACACTAAATGAACAGAAATTGCAAGCATTTCCTCCCAAAACTGGCACGAGACAAGGCTACCCACATTCTGCTGTACAAAATAGTGCTGGAAGTCCTAGGTAGAGGAATTAGACAAGAGAAGGACATCGGGGGGATCCAAACAGGAAAGAGGAAGTCAAGTTATCCCTGTTTGCCGACGACATGATCCTGTACCTTGAAAACCCAAGAGACTCTGTCAAAAACTTCCTTGCCCTGAAAAGGACTTTGGCAAAGTCTCAGCATACAAAATCAGTATGCAAAGGCAGTCTCATTCTTATACACTGACAAGAAACAGGTAGAGAATCAAATAAAAAGTACAGTCCCATTCACAATAGCCTCACACACAGATAAATGAAGTCCCTTGACATCTTCCTAACCAGAGAAGCGAAAGACTTTTACCATGAAAACTACAAAACACTGCTCAAAGAAATCCAAGAAGACACAAACAAATGGGAAAATATTCCATGCTCATGGATTAGAAGAATGAACATTATTAAGATGTTCATCCTATTCAGGGCAATGTACAGATTCAATACAATACCCACTGAACTGCCCTCATCATTCTTCTCAGACTTGAAAACAACAATACAGAAATTATTATAGAAACATAAACAGCCATGAATAGCCAAAACAATCCTCAGCAAAAGAAACAAAGTGGGAGATAACACACTGTTAGATTTTAAACTTTATTATAAGGTTACAATAATTAAAACAGTCTGGTAATGGTACAAGAACAAGCATATTGACTAACGGAACAGGATAGAGATTCTGGAAGCAAAACCTCAATTTCAAAGCCTCCAACAACAACCACTGGGGAGAGGAGGACCTATTAAAAAAATTCAGTAAATGGTGCTGGGAAAATTGGCTGACTACATGCAGACAACTGAAACAGGACACCTACCTATCATCATACACAAAAATCAACTCTAAATGGATCAAAGACCTAAGTGTGAAACTTCAAACCATAAGAATCTTAGAAAATGCAGGAGACAACCTAACAGAAATTGGAACAAGCAACCAATTCCCGATCAAAACTCCAAAAGCCCACGCCATAAGAGATAAGATAGACAAGTGGTACCTCATCAAACTAAAATGCTTCTGCAAAGCAAACAAAACCAAACCAAAAGCCAAAAAACATCAAGGTTTATTCTGACCCCAAGTGCCCATGCCATAAGAGATAAGATAGACAAGTGGGACCTTATCAAACTGACAAGCTTCTGCAAAGCCAAAGAAACCATCAAGAGAGTGGGAAGACAACCCAGAGAATGGAGAAACATAGTTGCCAGCTGTGGATCTGACAAAGGCATACCATCCGTGATCTGCAAGGAATTCAAATGGGTCAAAAGAGGGGAGGACAGGGACAGTCCCATTAAAAAGGGGGCAAAAAACAACAGATCCTGGTGAGGATGTGAAGAAAAGGGCATGCTTGTGTATACTGTTGGTGGGAGTGCAGACTAGTTCAACCTTTACAGAAGACAGTGCGGTGCGTCCTAAAAGAACTAGAAATTGACCTTCTAGATGACCTAGCAATGCCCCTTCTGGAAATACACCTGGAGGAACTCAAAGTCATTCTACAAAAAAGATACCTGCACATATACGTTTATTGCAGCGCTATTCACTATAGCAAAAACATGGAACCAACTGTGCTACCCATCGGAGGTGGAATGGATTAAAAAAAACGTGATACATTTATACGATGGACTATTACACAGCCATAAAGGAGGACAGAATTATGGACTTCACTATAACTTGGATGGATGTAGAGTCTATAATACTCATCGATCTACCACAGAAGCAAAGAACTGAGTGCCACATGTCCTCACTCATATGTGGGCCCTCAACATTTATCATAATAGCATAAGAAAGAGATTGGCAGCAGCGCGGAGCTGCCAGGGAGGGAGGGGGGCACATAGCATCAATAAGGGTCCCTGATGTCAAACCAGGTGAAGAGGAAACCAAGGGGAGGACCAGACTTTACCTGGTGTGTACCTAACCCTGAATTGTATCCCACATCTTTGACAGAAAAAAACTCAAAGAAAAATTTAATACAGAGTGGTGGGAAATACTTCGGCACCTTTATTTGCAGGCTATATTTACGAAGCTTCCAAAATTATTTCTAAATGTTCTTCTTCCCTCAAAATAGCTATGTAGGGTAGTGAGGAGGGAGAAGGTAAGACGGAGCATTGCAGATCCAAAAGTCATCGTCCCTCAGAACTCACTTAAACGGCTTGTGAGAACCCAGGAATCCAGGAACAGGATGTAAATTACCACCACAGACAAAAGGTTCTGATGACAGCAGCATCTTCCAGAATCTGGAGAAACAAAATATAGCAGGATAGAATTTTATATCTTTCTGAGCTATGTTTGGTGACCTCAATGATTTATATCCATAATAGGCAGAAGCAGTAAGATGGATTGTTTTTCACTGTCGAGGATACTGCACGAAAATGTCTTTCTTCTTAGATCCTGTCTTTGTGGCAAGCCACAAGAGGGTTTGCATCAGGGCAGATCTTTTAGCAAGTGCTTTGTTGAAAGTGAGCATTCTATGTTCAAACATGTTTTGAGGCTGTTTGGGGTTGGTTTGCTTTGTATTTTAGAGCTAGTTATCTTTACTTCTCTACTCTTTGATCTACATTCTCCCCAGTTTTATCACTGTATTTTTCCTTCTAACCTTTTCGCCTTACTTTGTTCATTCATTTACTCATTTATTGAGTATGACACACGCATCAGATCCGGTGTCTTGTTATGGGAGTGGAGGAATGAATAAGTACTCTTCCCTGAATTCTACCAAGTGGCTGGTGACTGCATCGTACATGCAAATCAACAGCTGCAGTTTGCGTAATAACTGCTGAGTGAGCTCGTGATGAGTTGCCAAATCTATTCACTTTTTTCAGTCTCATTATTTTACCTGCAGAATCTTGCTACCTTCCTCATTTTTCCCTGCCTTTTCGGTTCATGATCAGTTCTGCAGAGTAAAGCATGTGGAAAAAAATGAGTTGCGATAGGCAGAGGTAACATAGGAGTTGATAATTTATTTTGAGAGTAATAGGAGAATTTAAAGAGTTTAATCAGTACATGATAAAATAGACCATGTTAGGAAGATTATTTTAAAGGCAAGTGGGAAGATTAATTTATAGGGATGTGCAGGGGTAAATGTACAGAAAATGTTTCAAAATAATATTTTTTATCATGTTGAGGGGTTTAGAAAATCTGCAAGTGTTAGATAACTGTCTTGACTAATACTTTTATTGGTAACTTACAGGAAAGATGAAATTAGAATTAAATCAGTTTTGAAAGTGGAAACTCCAGAACAATGGAAACCTTGGAACCTTAGTCCCAGTGAAAATGGAAACCCTAGAACAGAGGACAGAAATTCTAGAACTGCAGGGCCAGCGGGGAAAACACCTCTCCTGCTTGGGTTGTGCAGGAATAGGGATAGAAGGCATGAACGGTTTGAGCCCTAGGCTGGGGCTGCTTGGGTGGACATCTTGCTTTTTCCGATGATGTTTTGAAACTATAATTGACCCCAGGCATTTTTCTAAGAACAAACAATCCCAAGTGAGTTTGGCAACAATGAATAATAGCTGCAGAGGAGATATTACTATAGCAACGACCATCAATCAAAGCCATCATTCTTAGAAAACATACCCCAATCAAGAGAAAACCCTCCCTAGAGAATCAAAGACGGAGAAATAAGTGTGGCATGGGCTACTAGGTTCCCAGCTTCCTTCCCTTTTGTCCAAAACACTTACTAAGTCGATCTTCTTTTTTTGCTCTGTTACTTTGCTGTTGTTCCCAGCGACAGGAATATTTAGTTTCACCAAACCTCATGCGTAGGGTTACTCTAGGAGGTAATTTCATCTGCCTAAACTCTTCCCAGAAACTCTGAGTAGCAGTTTGTAAGAGTGGCTAAAGTAAACGACTAGCTAAAAGAAGATTAGTTATGAGGAGATGAGTTAGTAAATTCTGCCACCACTTCAGGCCAGAACTGAAGAACCTGAACCAAAAAAGGCAACAGTGAAGCCTAGAGGAGAGGCAGCTCTCAGAGTCTAATCACCAGAACTTGTCACCCTTTATGCATCAAACATGCCAAACTCAAGATCTCCGTCATTCCTGTTCCTTTTCTACTTAGATACGTGGCAGGTAGCGTGCTCAAAGTTAGATAAGATTATCTTTTAAGTAACACACATCAATTACGAAGGGCTGTAATTTCTTAAGTGGAGCCTTGCTGGATAGGAGGTAGCCATGCCTCTCAAACTTTTCTCAAAAAAGGAGTCTGTGGAAAAAAAATTTCTGATGATTTTCTAGAAATTTGCTGGTCTTTAGTCACAAGCAAAACAGTCACAAAATATTAAATTGACTGGTAGCAATATTGCCCTGTGGCGTGGCACAGAGACACAGTGCCAAAGAAATAGCACTGCATTTTCAAAAGCCTCAGTCCTATTTAGGCTTTATAAGTCCCAGATAAAGCAAGAGCACTTTCCTTCACCATTCCTTATTTCCACTAAGTGTCTATAAATTATAAGTTAAAAGGTTTCTGCTACTAATTTCAGATGTGCCCCTTCTCCAGCTTTACTTTCTTAGGGTTCACTAAAGAAGTGTTCTTTGTTTTCTTCTCATAATGTCTTTTTTTATTTCTCTCCTTTACTAAAATTGATAACAGAAAGACTAAGGGCTTGGATTTAGCTGGTCCTGGATTTAAATTACATTTTAGAATCTACGATATGACGTTATATAAATCAGTTAGCCCTTATAAACGCTCATTCGTTGTCTATTAGTGAGGGCAATAATACCTATATCAGAGGTTTTATGTGTGCATTCAATTGAAATGCAAGCATTTACTGTGATACCTGGCATCTGGTAACAATAAATAGGAGTTTCCCATTCATAGCTTCTTTTTCATTTCTACAGATTCATATTCTTGTACGACTTCTAATCTCCAGTCTTCCAAAATATACTTTATGTTGACTTCATTGGCAGTTTTCTCCTTTCTTGAATTTCAGTTTTGTCCTCAATATTGCTGCTACTTTAAGCTCCACAAAGCTGCCAATAGGTTCAGTCTTTCTCATGTCCTCTTTTTGTCCTGAATTCATGATGCTCATGCCTGTCTGTGGTTGTGCACACCCTTACCATACCCACCAGCCCCCACACGGTAGCGCAAAAGAAAAGAAAATCCTTACCAATATGCCAGGAGCTTTGATGCCGCAGCATTATGGGTCTGTCTCTTCCTGAGTCTTCAGATTTAACCCCCGTCTCCTCTTTTATATTCTCCCAGAAGCATGCTCGTGGGGTGAAAACACATCTGCTCCTTGCATATGAGAAACCTGTAAAGCCGCGCTCATGGCACGCAAAAGGAGAAGTCGTGATAAAAGCTGAGGCTGCTTTTCCCTTGCTACTTCCTTATCACGTTAGGATATGGAAAACGAAGGAAGTTCAAGAATCTGCCTGGAAGGTCTCACAGCATAAAGGGAACTGCAAACTGCCACCTTGACTTTCAAAATGCTTATGTTTTGCATTTTAAAATTTGGGTTCTATGAAAGAGATCTTGCAAAAAATCATTTTATAGCTCGCTCTGAGAGATAAAATATGTCACTGTGTCTGTTTACTTTGGTGTACCCATGTCAATCAGCTTATGGTAAAGGGATTAGAAGAGTAACATCGCTTGAAACTGGATTTTCTATGAAAGCTTTACTGATGTCAAATATCCGTGGAGATGTCTAACAAAATAAAGTCCTTAAGAATTGGTCTTCTGATGCTGATAATAATGTGAAAGGAAGCACTGACTTAAATCGTTTAAATCATTTGGCAGAGAACTGCAGTAGCATCTCAGCTCACAGTGACTGTTCTGTATTCCGGTGGGCCTGTATGTCTTACTTTGCTTCTTTGGGAAAATTGCTTTTTTCTCTGACATGTTTGATATAGTAAGAATGAGAGATCATATCTTCTTATAGACCAATGTCTCCTTGATTACACTAAGTTCCAGGAAAAGCCAATGACCCCCAACGAGCCCATCAGAGTGCTTCCCAGGGCTTTTCCCCCTTTATTTTATTACGAAGATGAGAGGAACAAGTCAGGATTAGATGCATAAGTAATCGACACGCAGGTGAAGTCTGGCCCCCCACTGGTTCTTACTTTCCCTGGTTTGGGACCAGGTACCCTGTGTGTTGTTATGTGTCCCCCGTCCTACCCTGGCAGCGTCCTGCAACTGCATATCCCTCTCTTGCACTATTGTGATTAAGGGTGAGGCTCCACTTAGGAGTACGAACATGTGGTATTCAGTTCTTTGTTTCTGTGCTAGATCGCTCAGAGTGATGGTCTCCAGTCCCATCTAACTTCCTGAGAAGTCCATGATTTTGCCCTTCATTATGGCCACATAATATTCCATTGTCTGCATGTTCCACATTTTCTTTATCCAGCCTATTTTCAAGGGGCAGCAGGGCTGGTTCCTTGCCAGGGTTTTTAACACCATACTTCCATTAGGAGTAGGCTGACTAATTTAAAAACAAAAGCTAACCTAGAGAAATTAAAGTGACATGTCAGAAAAGAAAAAATTTAGATAAAAAATAGGCCTCATAAAAGTCCATTGCTAAATTCAAAATCTTCATTTCTTTTTGTCCTTTTTCAACCTAGATAATGGCAAACTTTTATGTAGCAAAGGTTAAATAAAAGTATGCTGCAATTAAAAATGCCAAATGCATTATGAAGTCTAATGAAACCGCAGAGTTTCTGGATGTGAGGTAGCTGTGCCTCTGAAGTAATCAAGTGCCTTTTTCAAAGTGTTGTGTCTTTCTGTCTTCTCGGAAGTAAGCCAGATGCCCAAAGTTAGAAGCAATGAGAAGAAAACAGGGACACATTTTTATAAGAAAATTTGAAATGAAAGAATTTGCCGTCCAGGACAGGTCATATGATTGAAGGAAGGGGGGACATAAAGGAGGGGGATACTGAAACTTGGTCTAGTACCCTATTTCTCAGTCTCAGCTTCCTGAAGATTTTGAAGTACAGCGTGACTGGAAACATTTTCGTGCTGACAGCATCCACAGCAAACTGTTGCTGGTAAATGCTTGAACTTTGATCTTGCAGAAATGAGAAATTAAAACGTAAACCAAAGAAAACCGGGCTGCTGCTACTCTTTGACAGGACATACGCCTCCACAAAAATTTGCTTGTTTTGTTTCTCACATTTCTAGTATCCAAAGTTCTCTCTTCCTCAGATACGTGGTAGCAGATCCTACTTTACCAAAAAAAAAAAAAAAAAAAAAAAAAAAAAAGGCATAAAAGATGCGATAACCTGTTTGGGGGCAATAACTGGATATTCTGCTTCATGGTTTCACAGGCTGTGGTCACGCTGTAAACTGGGGCTGTAGTTTCACTGGAAGGCTTGACTGCAAAAGCATCTGATCCCACGGCCACCGTCACCCCGTGGGCTTAAAATTCCCAAGTCCCAGCCCTGACCCCCCGTGCGACTGCATTTGGACAAAGGGCAGCTGGAGGGGCAACGAAGGGCAAATGGTCTATGAAGGCGAGGCCCTAATTCCATCGGCTTGGGGTCCTTATGCAAGGAAGCAAGCCTTCTCTTTCTCTCTCTCCAGCAGGCACAGACCAAAGGCCGCGTGAGGACACAGGCTAAGGAAGCTTTCCGCAAGCCAGGAAGAGGAGTCGTCCCGAGCCAGCTTTCGGGGGCTGGGCGAGGAGGGTGCTGGACCCGGCCAGCGAGTGTCTCTGCCCGCGTGAGTGCGCGGAAGCCGAAGCCGCCCGCGGTGCGCCTCAGGTGGGGGGGCGCGGCCGGCTGAAGGGTGGGGCCGCGGGACCGCGCCCCCGGGGGGCCCTGCCCAGGCCGAGGCCGTCCGCTCGCGCTCTGCGTCCGAGCCCGCC